AAAAAAAAAAAAAAAAAAAAAGAAATATCTTTCTGGCTGGGAGACCATATGGTCAGGCAAGGGATGCTGGGCTCCGGCCTAGGCTGGCTGGAGTGGAGATGGGATCTGGGGGCCATGTGTCTACACACAGACACACACACACACACACACACACACACACACACACCACATGGGGCCCTCTTCCACCCAGACAGACTCCAGTTTGAATCCCGACCCTGCCACTCGTCAGCTGTGGGATTCTGGGATAGGTGACCGAAACACTCCGAACCCACTGGTTTCTCTGTCTTACCGCCCCCGTTGTGGCCTAGGTTCTGTCCTGCCCTCCTAAGCTGCCTTCCTACCCACAGCCTTCACCTTGCAATCCTTTCTCCACACTGCAGCCGCCAAGATTCCTTTAAAACAAACATGAACATGGCTGGGGCGCCTGGGTGGCTCAGTTGGTGAAGCCTCTGACTTCGGCTCGGGTCCTGATCTCACGGTTCGTGGGCTCGAGCCCCGCGTCGGGCTCTATGCTGACAGCTCGGAGCCTGGAGCCTGCTTCGGGTTCTGTGTCTCCCTCTCTCTTCTCCCCTCCCTGCTCACGCTCTATCTCTGTCTAAAAAATAAATAAACATTAAAAATAACATAAGATAAAAATGAACATGGCACTTCCCTGCTTATAACCCTTCGATGACTCCCCATAAGCCTCAGCAACAAATCGAAATGCCTGACCGGACCGGGCCTCTCTGTTAGTCTAACAGAGAGACTGCACAACGCCTCAGAGATCAGATGTACAAGCTGGGTTCTCCCTCCCCGCAGCCAGCTGCTTCCTGAAGGGGAAGGTGGGGCGGGGGGGTGGGGGGAAGCCCCACCTTCTGAAAGCCTCCGTCCACTTCTGCCATTAACCACCTAGGAGGCCGGGAAGTGCAATCTGTCCAGGAAGGGTAGGAAATGGAGTTTTGGTGAATTACTGAGTCCCCGCAACAATCTGCCCTCTGGCGACTCAGAGGTAGCGTCCCCCTTCTTGGCTCGCACCACCCTCCACCAGGGGCACACCCTCACACCACACCCCGTTTCCACTCGAGGCCTCCTATCTCTTAGGGATGCACCATGTTCTCCACCTGCGGCAGCCCGGGATCTAGAAGTAAGAGCCAAGTTGCTACCTGCTCTGAACCAGAATGAGATGTGGGACAGGGACGGGATGAATGTGGGTAAAACTCATCAGAACAAGGGAGAGCACGCGGCAGCACCGGGCCAGCGACGGTGGGATCAGGGAGCAGGCATCGGGGGTCCCCCCGCCCTGGCTCGGCTCTCTGGGAGGACCCTCCCAGGCCCGTTTTCTCCGAGGAGGAGTCTGTACACTTTGTGCAGCCTGCCCACACAGGCGTGGCTCGGGGGTCAAACCGCAGGCTCGTGGCTTCTTTGGCAAGAGCGATTTCCTCCAAAATGTAGGGAGCTCTCCTTTCAGGAAGTTCCAGGGGACTACACCTGAGGTTCTGTTTTTAACATAGCTTTCTGGAGGCTTCTATGCTTTGCTCTCTAATCACTCGTCTGTCTCTGTCTCAGTTTACTGATGCTTCACTTCCCGAGCCTCTCAGACCATTAGCGAGCAGGCCAAGTCAACGCTTCCCCTGAGCTTGGCCCGCGGCCAAGGCCTTTGCCCACAGAACCGAGAAGGTTGTTGGCTCAAACGTTTTCGGTTGTATTCCCTGCTATCTGGGGCCGGTAGCAGGTGCCTTTTCCAACTGCAAGGCCTCCAACGCTTTCACCCACCTTTCTTCTGGCTGCAGACCTGTATTCCTCACGCCTCGCCTCGAGCTGAAGGAACAAGCCGCACGCGTGGGTATCCAGCTTGTTTCACCGGACTCCCCCCCCCACCCCCACCCCCCGGAGCTACAGGGTGGGTGCCCAGTCTGCCCCCCAAGGCACCGCAGGGGACGGTGTTCACAAACATTTGGCCCCTGCAGAACATGAGTCCCCAGCTTCCCACTCTGCAGTAATATGTCCCCGCTGCCTGACCACTGAGCCCGTGCTACGAATTTCCGGCTGTAGATACTGGAGGCGCCCTACTTGAAGACGCCTTTGGCGCACTATTTGGTATAACAAACACGCCCCCAAATGCAGCTCGGCCCAAGCCCAAATAAGAGTTTGGTTTTGGCAGGGGCCTCGTCTCCATGCAGCAGTTCAGGGACCTGTGGTCTTTACGAGTGGATTCGCTGTCCCCAAAGCCTTGCCATCGACTGCATCCAGCAGTGGAACGAGAAGGACCAGAGCCTGGAAGGAGCCCAGCTCGTTTCCACACATGTTCCATTGGCCAGGACTCGGGCCCAGGGACACGCCAGCCACACGGAGGCCGGTAGGTGCAGCAGCTGTGTGTCCGCGAGTGGAGACAGATTCAGTTGTGAGCAGCCTCCGCCACACTTCAAGGCTCTCCATCATCTGGCCCGCCCACCTCCCCAGGCTCCTTTCCTCACTCCCTCACTTCCGGCAACTTCAAAAGATGCCCCAAGCCACCTCACTGTTGGGCCTTTGCTCATGCTGTTTGGTCTACTCAGAGCTTTCTCTCCCGACTGTTCCATCTGTCTGCCCATCTGTCCATCCAGCCATCCATCCATCCAACCATCCAGCAAGTATCGTTGAGCCTTAAACATGTGCCAGGCACTGATCTGATCTCCAAACGAGCATATCAAAACGAGCAACATGGAAAACAAACAATACTGTCTTCGCGGGGCTTGTATTTTGCAGCGAGATGCAGACAGCACACAACAAACAATCCCAAACAAAGCGGGTATGTACGCAATGTAAGAGGTGAGCGATGACCGGGAAAACTGGAGAAGGGGTAAGGGAGTCAGGATGGGTGGGTAGCAACATGAAAGGCAGGGTAGGCTCTGGGAAAGGAGGCCTCACTGAAAAGGTGACGGTTGGGCACAGACCTGAACAAGGCAAGGGAGGGACACATGAGGATGTCTGGGGGAAGAGTATTCCGTGCACATGGAACAGCACGTGCAAAGGCCCTGAGGTGGGAGTGACTTCGCAGGCACGAGGAACAGTGGTGGCAGGGGAGCCCGTGTGGCTTACAGAGTGGGGGGGAGATGAGGTCAGAGGCTGTGGGGACCATGTCGTGTGGGGCCTGCGCGCTGATCCCTTCACAAAGGCCACCTCTTTTAGCTTTCAAGCTAGATATTCCTTCTTCAAGAGAGCCTTCCAGGGCCCTCTGCGTGGGGTGGGTGCCTCGCCTGTGTATGCCGGCAGCCTTGTCACGGAGTCTTCTGGCTGGGTGTGTGCTTTTGACCCCCGCCACGCACTGTGGGTCCCCTGAAGATGGAGCCCCATCTGCCTTGCTCACCCTTATGTCCTCTGGGGACACATAACGGCTACTCCACGTGGGAATGGGACTGGCTTTCTGAACTGTGGGGTCTCCACGTGGAAAAGGAGGACTGTCCCTTCACGGGCATCTTGGGAAATTTCAACGAGGGCAAGTGGCTCTTTAGTTGGCCGTTTTGTCTTAGCAGATGAAACACCAGTGAGTTCTTATTCCCCGACTCTTCTTATTCTAGATTCCAGAACGACCACGGAGAGGCTTATTCCTGTCCTGTCTCGGCATCTTCCCACATCTAACGTGTGACTTCATCGTGGAGTGCCTCTCACATCTGGACAGTCTGTAGAAAGAAGCCTCTTGAAGGATCCTCCTGTGACGTCCTGCCTTCCAGCCTCTCCCTGATCCAGGAGGTTGCCGAACCTCAACCCACAGGTCTCCCATCCAACTCCCTGATTCTGGCCTGCCAGCGTCCCCCTTCACCTCCTACAGGCTCCTGACACGCCAGCCCCTGGGGCGCCACCGTCGTGAGGACTGAGGGCCTCCCGATGGGAGTGGCCATTCTGACAGCCTTTCTGCGTTGGCTTGGCATTGGGATCTGTCATTCTCGATCATGCCGGCTTCAGCCCTTGGCGTCTAGATGGCCTGGCGTGATGGCAGATGCCCCGCCCCAAGCTGGCAAGAATATTTTATCCCGGCTACTTGTCTGCGTGTATCCACGTCCCTTCCTCCCCTGGATCACGCAGGGAAGACACGCCTGCAGCCCCACTTCCCAGAGCCCTTAGCATTGGCTGCCCGGTCATTTCTGCCCGAGGGAGGCGCCGGCAGGAGACTAGAAGGCGGTGAAGGAGTTTCTGGATTTGGGGGGTGTTTTCAGCGGCGGTGGCAGCAGGGACCTGCGGGCCTGTACTCCGGGGTTTTGTTTGGGCGGCGAAGCCCTTCCAGCGGCCCAGTGATCGCAGCTTGCGGCGAC